AAATGTGCAATTAACAATCACCACCAAGCAAAAATAATGTTATGTTAATTGTTTCACACTAACTTAAGTTATTAAGTTTACATTTAAGCTTAGTGCAGGGACAGGAATAATTTTGATTACGTCAATACGAGGCTTTATTATAATATAATGTCTACATGACTTAAAAACTAAAGCAAAATAAACAGATTTGAATCTTCTAAATATAGCTTTTTCGATAACACACCCTTTTCTAAATTTTTAAAAACAAATTCAACAGCCTTGATCTTCTTTTATGGTATAAACTTTTTCAGGTGATCAATTGCAACGAAACACAGGCTGGTCAGGAAAAGAATGTGCCAGCGAAAAGGCAATTAGTCTAAATTCAGGTCACATATACCAACAAAACATTTTGAGCAACGACAACTTGACAGCGCATCTATGCGTACCTGCTGATGGGATTTTCATCACAACTATAATTATCTATAAGGCCTGTATGCCGCACCGCAATTACAAAGATGGTTTGCCAGGTAAAGAAATCTCAATTCAATATACAATAATCATGGTCAACCAATTAATATAAATTTTCGGATTATTATACACAAAGTTTTGTACGTGTTTATCGACTATGATTATTTGCCTCGCCAGATTTTATCCAATTTCATGTAATGCATACTAGTGTCTTCTATTTATCCGCGTATACGATGTTAAAGGGACTTTTCTTAAGAAAAATAAGTTTTAGCGCTTCTGACAGTGAGTATATGGTCACTAGCATATTTCTTTAATTTCTTTAATGGTTTATTAAAGCCTTTTTATCCAATTGTGGGAAAGACTGACCAGTAGTCCTATTTATGGACAATCATGAACCACATATATCCTTGTCTCAAGTAGAAATTGCCAGGAAGGAAAATTTTATTTTTATTGGGCTACCATTCTATACAACGCATTACTTACAGGCCTTGGATGTCAAAATAATAAGGACATTAAAAGATAAGGTGACCCGACTTGCCTCGAGTATTGATTTGCTCGACCTGGCTGCAGTACAGGCAAGTCTCGGTTACGTATCTTATTGAGCTTCTCCACCGAGCTCTGTCAAGGAGGCATTCCGATTGGCTGTATAATGCAAGTCAATCCTGAAGTAATCGACGCAAGCCAGTTTATACCACAAACCTTCCCTATAGAGGAACATGGAACAAACGAGGCCACAAGAACATGCGAGACATGTGGCCAATTCATTGGGGGGGGGGGGGGGAAATCCACTGGTTAAAAGGGGGGTGGTTCCGGTATGCCTATCAGAAGTTTTAATCCCACCACCAGCAAACCTTCTACCCCCACAAAAAAACGACCTAACAAAGCAATCACTAGCGGTAAAGTTTTGTCGGGAGATGAAATGCTACAAATGCTAAAGGTAAATCAAATAAAACACTAATATACTTGAATAAAACAAAGATATCAATAGTACAGTATCTAGTTTCTGTTAATCTTTTCCTCTTAATTCTAAATTTTCTCATGTTTTAAAGAAGTTTTACATCATAACATGCATTTAATTTAAGAGTGTCCGATTAATTGCAGGAACGAGAAGAGACAGAAATAAAAAGACAGGAAGACAAGAAAAAAACGTGAAGAAGAGAAGGATTTGAAACGTAAACAGAAATTGGTGGACGATGAGTTGAAGGCTGCGAAAAGACAGAAAAGAGAGACAGAAAAATGAAAGAGAACATGAAAAGTTAAAAGAGAGAGAGAGAGAGAGAAGAAAAGAGAAATTTGGGAAATTAGCAGATAAAATGTATACGTGTGGTGTTTGTGGTGAAAGAGGATTATAATGATTATAAAAAAGAATATTTAGATATTCTCATTTCTGAAAAAGAGCCCTTCTTATAGCCATAACTCATAAATCATAAGGTAAACTTTGTTTAAATTTTGCATTATTGTGTCTTTTAAGGCATATAACTGACCTATATTGTCAATTTATAGCTCCTTATAGTGCCAATTAGGAGGCTCATACCTACAGATGAGTTTATCATAAAAAACTTCTGATATGACATCTACCAAGTTTTCTTCTATAGCATCAATTATTTGGTTGTTTTATTAAATTCAAAGGTTGTATCACTTTTAAGATAAGAATAGAATATTCAGATGATTACCGGTGCCTACTCCTTCGTCCTGTTTTGATCAACCTAAGAGAAGGATCGAAGTTCTACCAATGTGCAATTTATCTTGACTAATATAAATCATTTTGTACTAGTATTAATATCGATAGGACTAGATACGATATTGACAAGTTGCTAAAATAAATCAGCAGTGAGTATATAATGGCTTTGTACATACTGTTAAAAGCCTATAGTCGACATTGTATTAAGAGATCACTCAAGGGAATTCTAAAAGTAGTCTCGTAATGAAATGTTCTTATAAAAAAATGTTAGTTGTAATGTATTTGTAATGCTTAAACTACTTAGTTTAGGTCAGATAATAAACTTACTTACCTAGTCGATCATGACTGATTTCAATTTCAACAACTAACTAATTTTTATTGAAGTTATTCTTCGATCTTTTGTTAAAGTTAAAACCACTTTTTCAGTTTATATATTTATATCGTCAGTTGCTGACAACCGCCTTCTAGGTGCTGAAGAGGAATGTTTCTTCCGCCATTATAATATTTCTATATCCGTCTGCCAACAGTTCTATATCCTACAGCACGTTGTTGTTTTAATATCATTAGGATTTTTAAGGCATTTTCCCTGCAAACATTCAATCTTGAGATAATGAAGTTATGGTTAAATTGTTTCCGCTTCAGTCATAATTGTTGTCAAAATGACGTATTTTTTACTCGATATGATCGAATTATTTGATACACGTAGCAACGCAGGGAAGGATACTGCATATGTGCATCCAATTTTATAAAAATTTGACTACTGGTTTAGGATTGAGTTCAGTTCAGTTATTTTTGATTGACCATCGTACTTTTATTCTCGTTTGAACTCGACTGGAGTCTAATAATTTGACAAGATAGAGGAAAATGCAAACTGACAAAAACCAAACAAAAAAAACAAAAAAAAAGAAAACAAGCAACTAAAATAAGCCAAAAGAATAGACAGTACTTAAATAAACCCAACTTGCCGGTGTAGGTTAACGATATTCATTCTCAAACTGGGCAGTAACTTGGTAAAAAATTTAGCAATTATTATGTAAAATGCCAGGATCAATTATATTGTATTGATTAGTACATGTGTAAATAATGAAGCCATTTTTACGAGTAGATTCTAAGAAAATACAACTTGCCGTTTTATTGTTTTGACAGTTCCAATTTGTATAACATGACACTAGTTTTAGGCAGCCTGGCTCATAGACTGCCAACTTTAGGCTGTTAGACTGCAAAGTTCAGCGTCCTAAAGGTAAAGGCATTTTTTTCATAATCATGCATGTGTATGTGCTTTTGCATGACCTTTAATATTGATTTTACTGTATTTTAAATTGTTTCCATATTTATAATATACTTTAGGTTACTAGGCTACCGACGTTGGCAGCTAGATTGCCAACTTCAGGTTGCAAAGCTGACATCGATAGGCTGTTAGGATGTTAGGTGGCCTCCTCATGATGCTAGGCTTCCGACGTTAGGCTTCTAGGGTGTTAGGCGAATTCCTAAGGTCCAGGCCGTCAGCAATTTAGGCTTCCTCTTTCGACTGCGAGACAATTTGCCTCTTCAGACAACTAGGCCATCAGACTGCCACTTCAGGCAGCCAGGTCGTAAGACTGTCTCTTCTGCCAATTTTACAGGCATAATTGTACAAAACTATTTACAGAACACCGCAATTTTGCAGTTTCATACAAATAGTAGACAATTGTATAGTTATCAATATGTATTTGCATAAGATCAGTTAGAAATCGAACGCAAAACAATATACATGTATCAGCAAGATGAGTATTATCGTCGCCTAGTTTGTAGCGCAGTTTCATATATAATAAATTCACTTGCTTTCAAACTTGAGTAGGCAGTTTTGAATAATATGATACAAAAATGAAACTTGAGCTCAACATCAAATTACATCTTGCGACATTTAATGATAGTGTTACGACATTTTATGGTAAGGGAAATTCGTGCGACATTTAACGTAAACATTGCGACATTTAATGGCAAATGAATTTGCGACATTTAGCGGTGGTTGCGACATTTAGCGGCAATGGTGCGACATTAAGAGGCGTTGCGACATATAACGGCGCCACAATGCTATAGTATTTGGTAAATTGTTATATTGATAAAGTATTTTGTATGGAAGTAAAAAGTAACAAAACACTTTGTTTACATCTTGCTTCTTTTATTACAAATTAGTTCACAGTTTGTGTTACTTTTTCCGGTTTTTATAAATATTGTAAAATTCGTGGTTGCTCTTTCTGAAGAATTGTAAATTTGTATTTTTTAAGGCATAATGTGCCTATAATAAAACTAAAATGTTGTAAGTACTTTAGAAAGTGACAGACAAACATGAATATAAGACACTGTGGATAAAGCTTCTTTGACAATCTCGTTTATATTTCCAAGCAACTGATAAAATAAAAAGTCCCCCACCATCTAGTCTATATATACCTCCCGACCTATTATTTAGATGCTCTCCGCTCGACACAAGCTCTCACTTTTCATATCTTGTTGTAGACGATAAGATATCCTGCATAATTGAAATTTTTTCTAGATTCATGGCTAAAGATGAAATGCGAGCATTAATTAGCATTCAGTGTATTATTTAGAATGATGATAATTTTTATTATGATAATATTTTTTTTTTAATAAAACACGTTTACATCGTAAAATCTTCTCGAAAATCTGTAAAAAATACAATGAATTTTACTCCTCCTCATTTTAGTACTTTCTGGCTTTCTTGGTCCCATTGAAATTGGCGTTTTTGACCGGACTTCAACGATATTGTTTTATTTTTTATTATTATTTCGTATAAAATTAAGATTTTCTTTCTTTAAGTTCCATAGCACTGTGTGAAAAGGACAAGTTGGTGGACATTTTGGAACAATGTAAACAAGAAAAAGACAATAAGGGATGACTTTTACGAGACACCCTTGAAATAATGATTGAATACTTTCGAAATGACCCTCCTTGGTGTAGGACAAATGGTCGGAGCAGGACTCTATGTTCTCACCGGTAAAATATGTTTTAACGTATAACGAACTATGTTTTCTAAGGTTAACTAAATGAAAATACTTTGAGGCTTTCTCAACCCAAACTTCTCGTTTAACTTTGCAAATTTTAACTCCAATAAAATCGCAGATATGTTTCTATATACAAATATCAAATTCAATTCAATTTCCATTCCGTAAGAAAGTAATCAAACTTTTTCCTTGAAACATGTTTGAGTGTATTTAGAACCAATATTTATCTATGTGAAAGCAGAGAAAACAAATTACAGTTTTCAAAGTTTTTTTGTTTCAGAGTCGGAAGAATAGATTTTTGTTATATACTCCCGTATCTTTACTTGCCAGATAACACGCATTGTTCTTGTCTGTAAAACTCCAGTAAATGCCTTGATAATTATGTCTGTCGTAACTGATTTTTCTACTATAATCCCTTGGTCATGACAGCTTGTAAAGTTCGCGTGACATGGGAAATTTTGTTTGAATATAACACCAAAGTTTGGGGAGTTTTCTCAGTTTATTTTAATCAGTTATTTAAACCATAGTGACTTCTTTGATGCCCAGATTTATCTACAAATATCGCAATTACGTATAATCTTCATTATGAAATCATTGGCATCATCGTCATCATTTTCACCCTAATTTTTTTCATCATCATACGGATCATACTTATTATCATCATAAAATACCATCATCATCATCATCATCATCATCATCATCAACAACTATAATTAACAATATTCATATCACAGTCGTTTCAGCTTGTGACTAAAATTAATTTTCTCATACATTTCACAACATTATTATAAATGACCACTTTTGTCCTGGTTTACTGTATCAACATCTTCATTATTAACGAATCATCACCATCGACGGTAACATATATCATTTAAATTATCAACATAACATTATGGCAAACTTTTATCCTCTATTTTTGCAGGAACCGTGGTCGCAGACCTTGCTGGGCCGTCTGCTATTCTCTCTTACCTTTTCGCCGGCATTGCTGCAATTTTGTCGGCACTTTGCTATGCCGAGTTTGGTGCCCGTGTTCCTAAAGCTGGTTCCGCCTATTCTTACACATACATTGCAATTGGAGAGGTATGGGCTTTTGTAATCGGATGGAACATTGTTCTTGAACATTTGCTCGGAGCAGCCTCCGTTGCGCGCGCATGGAGTGGCGCCATTGATGCACTCTTCAATGGTGAAATTAGAAAAAGTACGTTAGAAAACGTTGGATACCTTAGTCATGGATCACCATGGATTTCTGACTATCCAGATTTTATTGCCATGGCCATCACCATATTAATCTTTGCTGTTATAGCGTCCGGTGCAAAGTTCACCGTTCACTTCAACACTGTTTTCACGGCATTCAACTGTGCAGTGATTCTATTTTTAGTAATCGCCGGATTTGCATTTGCGGATAAGCGGAATTGGACAGAACATGGCGGCTTTTTTCCATACGGGTTCGGAGGGTCTCTGGCTGGTGCAGCAACATGTTTTTATGCTTATATAGGCTTTGAGGGAATAGCAGTTTCAAGTGAAGAGGCAAGGGAACCCGAGAAGTCAATCCCTATTGCAACAATTTCCTCGTTGCTAATTGTTTCGGTGATTTACATACTAGCAACCACAGCATTGACATTGATCGTTCCCTATTATGACGTAGATCCGGCCGCTGCATTTCCAGCTGCATTCGCGACACGTGGTATAATGTGGGCGAAATATATTGCCGGAATAGGAACACTGTTTGGAATAACCACTTCACTGCTTGGTAGCGCCTTTTCTCTGCCACGAGCAGTTTACGCCATGGCACAAGATGGGCTTCTGTTCAAATCATTAGCTTATGTCCACCCAAAGTTCCAGACGCCAGTATTGGCCATTGTTATATTCGGATCAGTCTCGGCTTTGATGGCATTACTATTTGAAATAACAACATTAGTGGAATTCATGTCGATAGGAACATTGACTGCGTATACAATCGTATCAGCCAGTGTTATTGTGTTACGGTATCTTCCTGTTTATAAATGTCAATTTAAACTTAAACCGGAAGAAGAGCAGCCGATTCACGACGATACCTCCCCCACTGAAGAGTCTTCAATTATTAAAAAATCAAAAAGCCAAGATGACTTTGGAAAGCTTAAACACAAACTTCGTGCACTTCCTATTCTTAACAAATTTGAACCAGGGAACGCTGTAATGGTAGCGACATTTTTACTATTCGTCAGCATCCTATGTACAAATTCGTTATTAATATTTGGATATGATGAGCTAAGTGACGGGTCCTGGTGGGCTATTATTCTGCTGATAGTGTTCGTTGCCATGGTAATCACGTGCTACCTCGTGATGGTAGCACACGAGAAAAATGACGCATTTCTAACATTTCAGGTAAGACACTTTCAATGTTTTGATTTCTAAATTAGCAAAACCAATCTGTGTTAATCAGCAAAGGGAATATGTGCTTGAAATAGAAACTTTAACAGTTAGAACAACCTTAACTTGCTAACTGTGTGATTTACCCTGTCTTGATGTGGTAAAAGTTTAATGTCATTATTTAAAGAAAATCCGCCTCCATAATGCCTTGTTATTCAAAAAGAAATTATGTTTAAATTTTAATCTAATACTTTCCGTTTGGTGTTGTATTCATGTTCAAACAACTGCAGTAAAGAAATCAAATCAATATTTCATTAGCCACAGATGGCATTTACGTTAAAATTATGAAAAACTATCAATATACATATATCTTATTTTCTTTCCTAACACATGAATTAGAAAATAGAATGCTAATAGCTAATTTCATTACTCTAAGCCAATGTGTTACCCTAAATGCTATTTTATCAATAGTGTTAAATGTTTATCGAAAGGCCGCCGAAATATTCCAACAAATTAATTGCATTAACTTTTACTCAAGATATAAATACATGTATATGGATAGAACATCAATCTGTTATCATATGTAAAAAACAGAAATTCTTCTTTCAACAAGTCTAACGACGAGACTCAATATGTCTGTAGGCAAGCAATTAAATTTCCAAGAACAAATTCACTGATATATAGGAAACTTTAGATTTAAAGTACAGCAAAACAGTCAAAATCCGTTTATTAAATGTCATTACTTATAGAGAATTTGTCTGAGTACCTCTATCTTTAAAACGAAAAGCGCGTTTATGCACAATCAGGTCCTAGTAATACGTTGTTACATTGAATTTATATATGTTTAATATCAGAAACATCAATAGATAATACTCGTAATGTAACGGTTCGCAAGTCTATTTTTATCAAGAAATAGTCTGGATTTAAGAACACTTTAAACCTTTCTTAACTTAAGATTTTAAATCAAATGTTATTGCTGTTCTAATAATAAATAAATAACAAAATAATCAGGTTTATGACAAGTCTTGACTAATTTTCGCGGGCTATATGTCATTAATTTATGAAAACAATATAATTTTACTTTTGGCTTTATAAAAATATTTTTATAAAGCCAAAAGTAAAATAATATTGTTTTCAATACTTAAACTGGTTGTCGAATTAACCACGGGCAGGGAATAATTAACCTGAACATTCACTCTGCAAAATTCACTATGAATAGCGCTATTCATTTAAAGGCACATTAAGCCTCAGAAACGAATAATGTCTTTCCTTCTTTATAAATGGCAAAAATGAGTTTTAATATGTTCATATAACTTTTTAAGAGCGTGTTAAAATGCACTGAATTGGAAATTGATTGTCATAAAAGTAGAAAAAGGTAAAGTAGTGTTTCGAATTCCATACGGAATACTAACTCACTTTAACTGTACAAGTAGTCAAAAATCAACAGAAGCAATTACAGGCCAGTGAGAAACTTTTTAGAAACTATAATAGGACACACAAAATGCAGAGCTTTTGAGAAATAAAAATAAATGTTATTTCATTGGCATGCTGGGCCTTTAACCTGTGGTATCATACTGAGCAAAGTCTGAACTTGCATCACAGAAACTATATAAACTTGTCAATGCCTATGTACGCAATGCCATGTTTGTGAAAATTATTTCATTGAGCGGTATATACATGAACCTGTTAAAAAATCTTAAGTTAACTTAGTGTTTTAAATTATCTTTGTGCGATAGAATTGTTGTTGTTGTTGTTGATGATAGAATTGAAGTATTTCAAATGAAGAAAAAATAAACACATTTACTTTGGTAAATCGGATGAATTTAATTAGACCAGCTTTTTAAAAAAAAAAAAATATTTCAAACACTAAATTAGTTAGTGTTAGTGAGCAATTACTACTAATCAACACTAACATATAATTAAAGAAATAATGGTTAAGCCTCTAAAGGTTTCCTATTATACATAACATGCTGGACGAAAGATGAAATAATTGCAATAGATAATGATGCAATGGCTGTATCTAAATATGAAATTAATAAGAAAAATGTAGTAAATTGTTCATCATCTTCTTTAATGTACATAGATCACACACATATATTTTCAGATACCATCGGTTCCATTAAGACCTGCACTGAGTATAGCATGTAACACAGCATTAATGATGAAACTAGGTTTTCTAACCTGGTTACGACTGGGAATATGGATGGCAGTAGGTGAGTTTACCTGAATGCGTGCGCGTGCAGGCGTGCGCGTGTGTGATTTGTTAACGATTTATAAATTGTGAGTTAAAACTTGTCAATACGCTGATACAATTTTGATTTCTAATACAGATAATTGTACTTGTAGTCGCTATAGTTAAGTGATGGGGTTTTCTTTAGCTGACTTTGACAGGGCTGAATTTGAATGACCATATAAATATCAGCTGTAAATATGATTCCAGAAATATTCCTGTGGATGTGAACCCTTTTAAGTGTTTGGATTTTGTAGAAGTAATGATGTACGTTTGAACATATGCAAATTGATAACACCTGTAGTTGAAATTGTCATTAACTTGCCTAGTACTAGATAATTAAAAATAAAATGTATTGTTTTTTATCCATATTTACATGCCATCTATTGCATAATTACATGTATTTTTTTCATATTTACATGTAATCTTTTTCATATTTACAAGTAATCTTATTCATATTTACATGTAATCGTTGAAAATTCATTCTAGTGAAGATCATATTGTGTTTAAAAACATAGAATCATGACTATTAAATTTAATTTTATTATGTGCCACTTTGGTTTAAGAATTTATTTTTGTATACAGACGTTAACGAGTTCTAAGCTTGTATTCATTATGGTATCAAACCTATGGATAGTTCTGAATACAAAGTATGTAAATTCCAAAAGTACAGAATGCGAAGATTATTAATACATTTATTTACCATTACACAGGTTTTCTGCTATATTTTGCCTACGGTATGCGTAACAGTATTGAGGGTAAGGCTGTAACGTATGGTCCAATGATAACGTACGGGGGTGAGGCTGACATGTCAACGAGAACCCTGGCCAGACTTGACGAGGAGGTCGTACAGCAACAGCCGGAGGCCAGGGAAGAAATGAAATCATACGGCACATAATGGTAATCTTAAATTTACTGACAAAAATGTAAAAATGAAGTAAGATAATATTGATGTCAACTTAGATTTAAATTGTTCATTTTAATTTGGTTTTCATTGAAACTCTTTTGGAACTGTCTAAGGTATTCAACGTCAGTGCCCTGCACAACACAATTGCCACATGAGGAAATATTCTCGCGGGCCCATAACTCATGCGAGCACTTGTTTTCAAGAACATCACAGGTCATCTTACATATTTTATTCGTAAATGAGTTAACTTTTTGTCTAATTTTAGAATCAAGTGTCAAATACGTGTAATTTAATCCTCAAAAATACACTTTTAAAATGTTATATAATTTCAAACAATTTCTTTGTTGACTATATATCGTACATTGTTATCTATTTACATTGCTTATATTATAGGAAGACCAAGAAAGAGAAAGAATTGTATATTCAACAAAACACATTGCCAAAAGTAGAATTTGGAAAGGAAACCGGAAGTTGACAATAATTGTCAGTGTAACTGTACAAGGAACCGGATGTTGGTGGAAGCATTGTGTTGCATTATGGGTGTTGTTGTGAGGCTTGTGCAGTGTTATCTATGTAGTCAAATAATTGTTATATTAATTTAAACCAATGCCAAATAATTATAACTTTTTTTTAAAATAATCCAAAACAAGTCTTATACATACTTTCATTATTAAAAAATCGCCACGTTGAAATGGTATCCTTTTTTTTACTGTTTATTTTTCACTGCCAGTGAACAAATCTCTCTTATCATGTTGTTGTTAGCAAATACTTCCACGTAGTTAAATCACTAAAGTATTTTTATTAATAAAAATTAACACTTTCTGTAGTAAGTATAGAAGTCAGTACATTTTGATCCTTTTGAATGGGACAAAAATCATATGACAAGGCGGAACTGATGGCCACGATGGGCTTGGATAACTAAATGAAATAATAACCACGTCATAGAAAAAATATGCACTTGAAATTCATTTATTTTCTTAACATCACCTACATAAATAACACACATATATATTTTAAGCATTTTTATGATCATATTTTGCTTTTTAAAATAATTTTAGAACGTCATTATACAATGTTGTAAGACCATAACGTTTTAATAATTATGTTTGATGACGTCACAAATGACATATTTTTCATTCTCCGTAACTCCGTACTTACAAACCCATCCTCTAAACATAGTTTTTGTATATGCGAGGAATGGAAATCAAACCCAAAGCATATCATTTCGAACCGATGTACAAGACATGTTCAAAACAGAACAATATGTTATCCCTGTTTCTGTATGAAATAAATTACCATTGACTTAATATTTAGAAAAAATATTTTATGAGTATTAAAAACATTTGCCAGTGTTATATTATCAATGTTAATTGTTATGACATATTTAATCAAAGAGAAAATAAACTTTCTGTATGAACAATACCAGTTGCTTGATTAATTTCTCCCCATACATTTGACTTACAATATTTTGAATATAAACCATAGTGACACCGCTTGCAGCTCAATACTTTGTTGTTTTATATCATTGTAATCAATAACAATCCAGATGTTCTTTTTAAAGTAGCAAAATGTCAAAAAAGACACATTTTCACTGCTCTTAAAACACCTTGATTGGCACATTTGACGTTATATGGCATTATGCTACGCTGACGACTTTTATAAACTACAGTTATAGACTTCATTGGGTTGGTCATTGGGTTTACTTTTATATGTTTCTACATGATCATTTTGGTGTTATACTTATTTAACCCTTTGTAACCATAACAACTGTTAGAATTTCACTTGGCGTGGATTCATTTTATTTACACTTTCTCGTTTATAGGAACATGATGGGGCTAAGACTGAGGTTTGGTCCACCATTAACAGGTTTAAACTCCCCAGCAGTATTTGTGCTGCTGACCGTTCCAAGGCGGCGCCCCTCTGTGTTCCTCAGATGTATGTCTATTTTGTTTTATACTGTTTTGGTAACACTTTTGCTTGTGTCCCTCGTTGTTTTCTCGTCTACGGTAAGTATCTTCCCCTAGTCTTATTTCTTTAATTTACCCCTCTTCCCCGGGTCTCCTATCCCCTTCCTCTGTGCCCTTTAACTTTGTGGGTCTATTCTTCAATCAATAATTTGTTTTCTTTGAATTCTTTGTCAGTTACAAATTATTTCCCATTATTCAATCATTTATTTGTTTTCTTTGGGTTCCTTATCAGTTAAAAATTAATAATAATTTTAGTGGTTAGCCTGTTCGTGCTCTGTGTCGTGCCCTGTCCTGTTTTTGTTTGGGGTCCGCCTGGGCTCCTTGCCACTGGTTCTAATTGCTAGGTCGTGTAGGGTTGCGTTCATTGAACGGCGCCTGCCCTTGTTGATCTTGTTTATCACATTTCATTTATAGACTATATTAATACAAAAGATTCAACGTCTACAACTTGAATCGCGATTATTATAGATGCACGAGTAGTTTATAAATAACAATGCTATTAAACTATGAACATAAGTATTTACTGCGTGAACAGGCAACCTTTCGACATTTTAGGAATATATTTCATTCTATTAACGGGATAAAAAGAAATGTCTTAAAAACAGATGTGTGAAGTTGGCGGCCTAGCGGCCTGGCGGCCTGGCGGCGTGAAGTTGGCGGCCTAGCGGCCTGGCGGCCTAGCGGTGTGAAGTTGGCGGCCCAGCGGCCTGGCGGCCTAGCGGCGTGAAGTTGGCGGCCCAGCGGCCTGGCGGCCTAGCGGCGTGAAGTTGGCGGCCCAGCGGCCTGGCGGCCTAGCAGCCAAAAATTTTAATGTTTGTAAAAATGTTTTTTTAACAACAAAACGGCATTTAATGAAGTTTTAAAGATAATTATTGTTATTTAAACGATATATCTAAAGAAAAAATCACTTTCAGAGATTTTTTTAAGTTTGTCATTTTTGTGAAGTTGGCGGCCCAGCGGCCTGGCGGCCTAGCAGCCAAAAATTTTAATGTTGTAAAAATGTTTTTTTTAACAATAAAACGGCATTTAATGAAGTTTTAACGATAATTATTGTTATTTAAACGATATATCTAAAGAAAAAATCACTTTCAGAGATTTTTTTAAGTTTTGTCATTTTTGTGAAGTTGGCGGCCCAGCGGCCTGGCGGCCTAGCAGCCAAAAATTTTAATGTTTGTAAAAATGTTTTTTTAACAATAAAACGGCATTTAATGAAGTTTTAAAGATAATTATTGTTATTTAAACGATATATCTAAAGAAAAAAATCACTTTCAGAGATTTTTTTTAAGTTTGTCATTTTTGTGAAGTTGGCGGCCCAGCGGCCTGGCGGCCTAGCAGCCAAAAATTTTAATGTTGTAAAAATGTTTTTTTAACAATAAAACGGCATTTAATGAAGTTTTAAAGATAATTATTGTTATTTAAACGATATATCTAAAGAAAAAATCACTTTCAGAGATTTTTTTAAGTTTGTCATTTTTGTGAAGTTGGCGGCCCAGCGGCCTGGCGGCCTAGCAGCCAAAAATTTTAATGTTGTAAAAATGTTTTTTTAACAATAAAACGGCATTTAATGAAGTTTTAAAGATAATTATTGTTATTTAAACGATATATCTAAAGAAAAAATCACTTTCAGAGATTTTTTTAAGTTTGTCATTTTTGTGAAGTTGGCGGCCCAGCGGCCTGGCGGCCTAGCAGCCAAAAATTTTAATGTTGTAAAAATGTTTTTTTAACAATAAAACGGCATTTAATGAAGTTTTAAAGATAATTATTGTTATTTAAACGATATATCTAAAGAAAAAATCACTTTCAGAGATTTTTTTTAAGTTTGTCATTTTTGTGAAGTTGGCGGCCCAGCGGCCTGGCGGCCTAGCAGCCAAAAATTTTAATGTTGTAAAAATGTTTTTTTTAACAATAAAACGGCATTTAATGAAGTTTTAAAGATAATTATTGTTATTTAAACGATATATCTAAAGAAAAAATCACTTTCAGAGATTTTTTTTAAGTTTGTCATTTTTGTGAAGTTGGCGGCCCAGCGGCCTGGCGGCCTAGCAGCCAAAAATTTTAATGTTGTAAAAATGTTTTTTTAACAATAAAACGGCATTTAATGAAGTTTTAAAGATAATTATTGTTATTTAAACGATATATCTAAAGAAAAAATCACTTTCAGAGATTTTTTTAAAGTTTGTCATTTTTGTGAAGTTGGCGGCCCAGCGGCCTGGCGGCCTAGCAGCCAAAAATTTTAATGTTGTAAAAATGTTTTTTTAACAATAAAACGGCATTTAATGAAGTTTTAAAGATAATTATTGTTATTTAAACGATATATCTAAAGAAAAAATCACTTTCAGAGATTTTTTTAAGTTTTTCATTTTTGTGAAGTTGGCGGCCCAGCGGCCTGGCGGCCTAGCAGCCAAAAATTTTAATGTTGTAAAAAATGTTTTTTTAACAATAAAACGGCATTTAATGAAGTTTTAAAGATAATTATTGTTATTTAAACGATATATCTAAAGAAAAAATCACTTTCAGAGATTTTTTTAATTTTGTCTTTTTTTGTGAAGTTGGCGGCCCAGCGGCCTGGCGGCCTAGCAGCCAAAAATTTTAATGTTGTAAAAATGTTTTTTTTTACAATAAAACGGCATTTAATGAAGTTTTAAAGATAATTATTGCTATTTAAACGATATATCTAAAGAAAAAATCACTTTCAGAGATTTTTTTAATTTTGTCATTTTTGTGAAGTTGGCGGCCCAGCGGCCTGGCGGCCTAGCAGCCAAAAATTTTAATGTTGTAAAAATGTTTTTTTACAATAAAACGGCATTTAATGAAGTTTTAAAGATAATTATTGTTATTTAAACGATATATCTTAAAGAAAAAATCACTTTCAGAGAACTTTTTTTTTTTTGTCATTTTTGTGAAGTTGGCGGCCCAGCAGCCCAGCGGCCTGGCGGCCAACAATTTTAATGTTTGTAGAAATGATTTTTTTAACAATAAAACACATACGCGTTATTTCATAACTTGTTCGTGTTTTTGATAATATCGATCAGCCGAACAGGACATAAGAATGGCAGACTGGATCGCAGGCTAATATATGGTGTACAATTCTGTAACAAATTTGAATTGTCCTTTATGAAGTTTTTAAAACATTTTTCTCGGTCCCATCCAATTTATTATCCCCGTTCAATCCATGAGTATAAGTCATCCTTTACTGACTTTACAAAATAACTTTTGCTTACACATTTATTAACAATAACTCATGATTACAGATGGGGCTATGGTTCATACACTAAATGATTACCTCCTTGTTATTGGATGAAACTGAAAAGTTGAATGGTTTGGGATTCTGATTGCTAGCACAAGTTATTTCGGGTGAAAAATGTATTGAATGTTTCCATGTTGTCATTTTAACGCTATTTTTTTGTTAGTTCAAAACGTTAACTTGTAATTTTTTTAAACATTGATTTGTTTTAACATTTGTTATGTTTGTATGTTGCTTGTAAAAGTATGTAGTTGTTTACATTTATTATCATGAATCACATGTTTGTCAATATAACGTTTTTGCTATTGCTGTTACTTTAACACTTCATTCTTATGGTGTTGTATATACGGATATTCCCAGAATAAATATACAGTACCTTTGCTTTGTGAAGGTTTTTGCTCCCATTTTCCATCTGCATCGCATAATTGTTATACCTCAAACACCGCATAAAATTATGGTAAAAAAATACATTTTTTACAATGGTGCCAAATATTTGGAATAGAATCTTATTTTATAAACGGTCATATTATTCTTTTTAAAATTTTTGAAAATAAAAATAAAAACATAACTTGTAAACACGAAATAAAAATATCTTTTTATAAAAAAAACCATATTAATTTTTTTTTTTTTTTTTTTTCATTATGTTATAATACTTAATTATGCATGTATATTAATAAAAAGTATTGTTTATGGCGAGGGTTTAGCGGTCAAAATAGTCAATTTATGTATCTCTCACCGTGTGCAAAAACCCAAGACAGGGCAAAGCCGGGTTTTTCTGGAAAAGAAACTAAACACAAAATGAAAAAAGGCTACCAGGTCACGAAAAAAGGGAAACTCTATGGCGGAGGCCCAAAAAAGCCCGAGGGACGATGTACGATTTTTCCCGATTTTTCAACATCTGGTTTCTTTTTTTTTGTTTTTTTTTTTCAAATTTTTTTTTTTATTTTTTGAAAATCAAAAATATTTTTTTAACCTTTTTGGTTAAAAGTGTGTTGATGGCTTTTAAGGGGAACCCCCTGGAGACCCCTAAAGAGCTTTTCCAAAGCAAAAATTTTTTAGTTGACATTTCAGTTTTTATTTTCTTTGGAGCTATTTTTTGAGAGTAAAAAATATATTAAAACCTCATTTGCATACGGTCTTATATATTCAATATGACGTCATCCGGTCCAAAAACCGCATACAGACCGGGGCGGTCCATAATTCTTACAA